ACCCGTTTCATTGTAGATAATGTTGCATAAGATTGTGCTCTTTTATAAAAAACATTCAATTCCCCCCCCTCTTCCATCACTACCTATTATGAAACGCAAGAAAAATGATATCTGGATTATTCTGAAATGCATCGTAGGATATTTGAATATGCTTGAATCAGGGAAATATCACTTTTTCCTGACTTTCTTCCCTCCCCGAGGAAAACATGACAGAAAAATTCGCTGTTTTTTTTTAATTTGTAATGTTATGCAGTTCATGCATAACTGGGTAATAAACCCAAAAAACGTGTAGTTTTGATACTAAGGGACGTTAAAGTCATATTTTGTTTAGAATAGACTATGTTTTTATTAGAGGCGGGAACGATACTTGTATGTGCTCAATTTTAGATTATGTTGAATGATATTGTATTTTGCCATAAAAATTTCAAAACCTTCCTCACCCCTAACCCGTTTTAAATCTTGACTACTTGTAGATGCGTGAACAGAATAAATGTTTTAATCAGCTTGAATACGCGAAATCGTAGATTTGTTTAATTATACCTCTTCTCCTTTCATGTTTGTGTGCTATACGCTTCGGAATATACGCACAAGTAGAATCAGCGTGCATCACTGGGTCATACAGTCTATTCGCAAAATAAGTAGATATGTCATGTTATTTTGCATATACATCATTGTGATGATGTATATGCAAAATCCTATATTAGGATTTCAATTTGAATAAACATCTATCTATCTATACCTACTGCTCTTTCTAAAAAAATATTCATCCTCTTCTCCACCCCATCATTTCGACAAACAAAAAGTTTCATAATCATCTATTTGGATTAAAATCATCCAAAATTGAGTGAATTTTTCATCCACCATAATTTTTTTTGAGGAGGGGAGGTATAAATGAACAAGTAGGTATGATTTCCCTGATATGAGCTGAATAAAACATTAATTTTGGCTATGCCTTTAGAAGTAGTCAAGCGTTATTTATTAGTATTTTGAAATAGGGGTTGGGGGTTAGGGGGAGGTTTTTGAATTCTTCTAATCCAAATTACAATATGATTCATCGTAATCTAATATTAAACACGTAAAAATATCATTCCCGCCTATAATAAATAGTTTATTCCGAGCAATATATGACTTTAACGTCCCCTAGCATCAAAACTATCCATTTTGGTGTTTATCATCTAGTCAATGTTCATTTATGATAACATGAACTGCAGTCATATTGAGAATAAAAAAATCGGCAAATGTTTTTGTTTTGTTCCCCTCGTGGAAGCATATTCAAATATCGGACGATGCATTTCAGAATAATCCAGATATCATTTTGCGTTTCATGGTAGGGGAAGAGAGGGAGGTGTATATTTTTTCATAGAAGAGCACAATCTTATGCAAAATTAGCTACAACGAAATGGGTGGAAATGATATTTCTGGTTTTGAAAATGAATCGTCTATTGTGAGGAATGGGTGATATTAACGCCTCCTATCATCGAAACTATAATTTTTGGGGTTTATCACCTGATCAATTACTATTCACAATAAGATGAACTGCATCCTATTGAAAATTCAGAAATTACCATCGATTTTTTTTGGTACCCCCCGGGGGGAGAAGGGATAATAATATGAAATGCATTTCAAAGTGATCCAGATATAATTTTTTTGCGTTTCATAATTGGTGGTGGGGAGAAGAGGGTGGTGAATAATTTTTTTTATAAAAGAGCATAATCATATGCAACATTATCTACAATGAAACAGGTGAAATTTTTGTTCCCGGTTTCGAAACTGAATAGTCTATTCTGAGAAAGGGGTGATTTTAACAACCACCGGCAACAAAATTGTGAATTTTTTTGGGTTGCCGCGGTGATAACATTGAATGAGAATTACATGGATTACTTTATATCAAAAATTCAAAAATATCCACCGAGACCCAAATTCCATATTGATTTTGCGGGGTCCTTTGATGAAACCTCCTATGAGGTGTGAAAGCGATTTCACTTTCAAAGTGAATTAACTGATTGATTATCTAAATGAATGTTGTAGTTCGAATATACATTAACAAAGTTCAGACCGAGTTCTACGACAAATTATCAGTGGAAAATTTTCAAGAAAATATGAATTATTTGAATATTTGAAATATTACTTAGCATTTCAAATTGGCTGAAAGGAAAAATGCCTTATGACACTTTTTTCTTCAGTTCAATCACTTTGAGAGGTTATGGAGGAAAGATGCCTGTTTAAGGCAACACTAATATTTTCGTGGCAAAAGAAATGGCTTTGTGTACCTTTATCAAATCAATAATGGAGATTCCAACATCTTACATGAACATGTATATCAGAGGAGCAAGACATTCAGTATTCAGTATAGACATACTACCATACTTGTGTATGGTAGTATTGTCAGTGGGAGGGATATGTCTTATGAGAGATATTACTTTTCTATCTTGAAATTTGTTGCACCCCACACGCTGTTCTTTGAAATGAATATACAGGCTGATTCACGGTGGATGGCACAACAACATTTCACAAAATTGTACTCTCTGTTGAGGATCTTGAGGCTTCATTGCTTGAATTTTGGTGGATTTATAATCATGCATTTTATGTTTTCGCAAGATTCTTTGAACCGATGAATATTTTATACCCAAATCTTCTTCAGCACTTCTTATCGATGACTCGGGAAATGCGTGAAAATATGCTAAGACATTAATCTGGTTGTCTTCGAAAGTTACGGGTCGAGGCAAGTTTCTTGGTGCTTTTAAAGTTGATCCAAATGCATTGAAATTGTTCTGAATTCGTATAAATTTCTTGAGGTTCATTGGCGGTAGATTCGGATACATTTCATTGAACTTTCTACATGTTCTGCTGATAATTTTGTCACACTGTCCAAAAATAATAAACAAATTCATAAGAACTTCGTTTGAATAGTTTTGTTCCATCGTTTTGAAGGTATTTGCAACTTCTGAAGTGACGAAAATGTCGATATTATTAGGAGAATGTCACAACGCTACTGTCAAATAGTAATCATGGCCTGCTTACCAAATACCGAATGGAAATACCATTCTGAAGGGACATTTTCACAAATAAATGTTCATAAGTCCGAAACTTGACTAGTTAGGTATAGGTATGATATACATAGAAAGAAAGCAAATTTCAGCAGCTTTCCGAATTTTCAATAATATACAGGGTGTTCCATTTAAAATAATCAAATTTCAGCAACTTTTTCAAGCAAACGAAAAAACTGTATTTTTTTACCACCCTGTATTGAAGTAACGGAGATTAGGCTGACGTGTGGGAAGTGTCCAAGTATCACCTAACTCCAAACCAAATTTCGATATCATAGTACTTCTTAACTAAAAGATATCGGCATTTTTAGAAGTCATGATTTTCGAAGAAAAAAATTGAAATTAATTTTTATTTCGAAAACGGTAACAGATAGGTATAGGGAAATATCGAGAAAAGTTGTCGAGCAATTGTTGGAGATTCCAAAAATAATATTATATACAGAGTGTTCCATTTGAAAAATCAAAGTTGCTACTGCTTTCTAATAGAAGCGGCAACACCGCATTGTCGAAAATATTTTAGTTGGCTAGAGAATGTACGAATATGCCCTCCATTAAATTTTCAAAGTGATCCGTTGTCTGGTTCACCAGAAACGTCTAATGTGCCATCCACCGTGAATCAGCCTGTATTTTCAAAAGCATAGTACTAAGTTAGTTGGCCTGACCTGCGCAAAATTACGGAAATGCTCTTTCACTTCAAGCTAAATTTTCAAACGGTTTTATTTGCCCTGTTTGTTTGGGTAAAATTCAGTACCTAATTGAAGTTTCCGGTTGACAGATTAATCTGATATTTGATATAAACATTTAGTTTTGATGACACTACAATTCAATAAATTCTGTTTCATTGTAAATCCAAGATGACCGCAGCTAAAAAATGGCGGATTACATATTGTTTCACATTTACCTCAATATGAGTATCAAGTGACAGGGTTTGACTACTAGAATCGTACACTTCGAAAAAGAAAGCAAATTCAGGATGGCCGCACCTAAAAAATGGCGGATCACATATTCTTTCACAACTACTCCAATATGGTTATCAAATGACAGGGCTTGACTAGTGGAATAGTAGTACACTTTAAAAAAGATGCAAATTCAAGATGGCCGAAGTCACAAAATTGCGGATTACATGTTACCTTTCAATATTGAGGCACTAAATGAACTGAACAGAGCAACAAAATTAGAAACTAAAAACTTGATTATAAAATAAGTAAAAACAAAATTTTATGTCAAACGAGTTATTAAAAAAAATAATAATGTACATAATGTACTGAAAACCAAAAAAAATATTCTGAAAGTCATAGGTAGCAGTCATCACATCACTCTCCTCAGCAATCTACGGTATTGATTAGATGAAACAAATTATAAAATCGTTGGGCGTGGTATTTACATATCTACTCAGATTACGCTAAGCACAACGATTTTATTATTTTTCTATTTGATCAATGCCGTAGATTGCTGAGGAGAGTGGTATGATGGCTCTACCTAGGATCTTCCGAATTGTTTTCCATAGGCCGTGGAAACCTGATCGTGGAACCGTGACATATTTTCGGTATGTCATTCACTACCAAAAAGCTACTACGATAGCAAAACATGTCGTGATATATTTTATAAAAATAAAGTTTGTGAAGATCAAATCGTAAGGTGCAGTTTATGGAATTACTATAGATCTTCAACAAGTAACGGCCGAATCAATTGGAATAAGCAACAAATGTTACTCAGAATAAGTCACTCTATCAATTTCTTGGTTTTGATTGAACATTTTAGCCGGCCGGCTATAGAGAAAAATAGAATACAGTACCTGAGAAGAGAGCTTGAAAGCCCTGAACTACGCGTTATGATGTCCTCGGCTTCAATTCGGGCATCATAACGCTCAGAAACGCATCAGAAATTTCGAGCTTTCTGCCCCTGTAGCGTGATATGCAACTTCAATAGAATTATGAGTAAAGTTCCACTCACCTTGGGGTTAGGCAACTCTCCACTCTGCAAACTTGCCATATAACACCGTAGCCTGAACTGTTCACAATGTAGCCGTTCTAAGTTTTCTTCCCACTGGACCACTTGGTTGGCAATTTGAAGTCGAGCTTCTGAGTCGCCAACTACTGATTGTTGCATTTCTGCCATATGCTTCAATTTATAATCCTGGAAAAATAAGGAATATATTAATAGTAATGATATTGTGGCATAGGCATGTTCAATTTTGAAAAACAAAATTGTTTCGCTATTTCTATAATTATTTGAACTTCTTTGATTCAAGAGCTACATCTTGTTTCCACTATAGTTTTCATTAAAGTTCATTATATTATGTATTCAAAAAATTCACTCAGATTTTCACGTCTTCATATAGAGAAAATTGAAATTTCTAAGCTGAGAAAAAAATTAATGTACCAAAAATATTCTTCACGAAGATATGTAGTTCACAAACAAACATGTCTGTGTTTCGTATACTAAAAAGAAAAAGTGAAAGAAAAAGTGTATTCTGCCTCATTCAAAAATGTATTTCGTCTAATTCAATGTTCAAAATGGTTGTTTCGGATGAATTTTCATCTTCTGGTTTGTGTGCGAATGATAATTTTTGCATGAATCATGAATATTTTTGTGTATTTAGTATATTTAATTTATTTAGTAAATTTCTCACTCTTCACATATTATTATATCAGAATATATTCTTGATAATTCATTTCCATGTGCGAACAAGTGTAACACAATATACAATGTGTGTCACATCTGGCTCCCATGACGAGTTTGAGATGAATTGCTGACCTTATCAAAAAATGTTTAGTGTAAAAATGTACGGGTGTATACGAGAAATCATTCACCAATCTGTCATCGATAACACGAGTAGGTTTAACCCATTCGTGGCAAAAAGCCGTAATTTCATGAATTGTTTGAGTGCTTCATCTCGTAATGTTATCCATATTGGTGCTAAAGAGTTAATGGGACAAATGTTTAATCCAAAACAATGGATGTTCTCCATTGAGGATGACAGTCTTCCTTGTAAGTGAAATTTTGACATCTATCATATACTCATACTATATTATGTAGTATTGCTGTGAATGATATCTGATTGAATGATTGCTCTCTTTCTCCATTATCCAATGATAATTCGACCGAAATCTTTTTTTCCTAATACTTACTCAATCAAAATCCTATATTCTTCTATCTCATTAGATCAATTTCATACCAGAAATTGCAATTCTACCTAATAGAATATTTGTAAAGAATATTACTGGAGTTTCATCTCAACACCAAACCGTTATTTCAAACAACTCGACACATGTTTCGAATACTGAATAAAAAAACGAGTAATATCCTTCCTCGAGAAAAACAATATAATAAATTTATTCCAGTTTGGCTTTCAGTCTTCAAAAGGTACACAAGACGCCATATTTTCACTCCTGGAAAACCTCTACACTAATCTTAATGAAAGAGAATCTGCGGCGGCCATGTTTTGTAACCTAATCAAGGCTTTCGATTGTGTAGACCACATGCTACTTCTTCGCAAGCTAGAAGTTTACGGATTTAGAGGATCTGCATTACTTTGGTTTGAGACGTACCTTTCTCATCGGCGGCAGAATATTCTATTAGATGAAATTTCATCAGAGGAATGTTTCATCGTCAGTAGGGTTCCACAAGGTTTCGTTTTGGGACCGGTGTTTTTTCTAATTCATGTCAATAACTTAGTCCATGTTGACATAAGTGGTAAATTCACATGTTTCGCTGACGACATCACCATCCTCCGGCACAGCAATACCGCCTCAAATTTACTTGATCAAATTATTGTCGACATAAGAAAGGTGAAAGAGTGGTGTGATTCCGATCTTTTTTCATTTAGCATCGACAAAACAAATGTGGTCACGTTTAGATGTAACATGGGGAAAGTACACTTGGAAAATGTAAAAATTGCAAATTTGAAGACAAACAAATTTTTAGGACTCTTCATTGATGAAAATCTAAAATTTGATTCCCATGTCGACTACATATGTAAAAGACTGGCAGCAAGATGTCATGCAGTGAGAGTTGTTGCAAGAGAGATAGACACTACTATCACAAGATCAGTATATTTTGCACAAATTGAGTTCTATTGACGTTATGGAATTTGTTTCTGGGGAATTTTTTTCAAAGATGAAATTATTGTTATTTGTGAAATTATAAAACAACGATAAAAATAAAAACAATATAATAAGAATTAATTGGCGCTCCAGGGTGACTTCATTGATTCCAGTGGCGCATTTGCTTTTTCAGCTGCAGGAAAACCCGAAAAAACCTGCAGCACCACATCATCTGAAGATCTCAGTCTGCCAGTGTCATCTCTCTCATAAAAAATGTAGGGTGTCTCCAGAGGCTCCAATAGATGCAATACATCGCCAGAACACTTCGTGACACGACTATCGTCAAACTTAAACCAGTCCGTTTCGTCTTTAACCAAGGCGTAATAATGACCAAATTCAACGCTAGAACCACAATGAACAATGACTGATTGAATATTATAATAGTGGTCTGTTACATTGAAATGTTCCTCTATTCCGAACCTTCGGAAAAGTTTCTTTCTTCCGTCAGAGGTTGAGTCTTGTTTGAAGATCATCAGTGTTATTATTAGATTGACTGGAGCCTGAGCTATAGGTACTTGTTTCCTTATAAGTCAGTTAGTTTGGCGCATGTTTGGCAGTACAGTCGATCATTTTCCATTTTCAGATGATTTAACAGTAACCTTTGCACGGACTGGTTATTAGTCATATTAGGAAACGCTAGAGAAGTTCCAGAAATTCACATGAGTTTTCGCTACCTATTGAACATTCACTACAGAGTAAACAAGTGAGGATTTTTCCAGCAAAAGATTTACAAACACAAGACGAGATGGTATCATTCAATCCAGAGCGGTCAGGAGTATTGATTTTGCTATTGTTTTGCTCACGAAGGGTATTCAACAAGAACCCCAAGAATTTGAAACAATCCTCTTGTGGTCCTAACGAGTATCTAGTGGACTTCAAATTGTGGGGAAATTGTGCACAATTTCGTTTCAATATGGTATCTTCTCTAGAAAAAAGATCCATCAGATATTTATGCAAGGCTAGCTACAGGGTTCATGTTGCCCATTATTTGTGAAGCAAACAATTTTGACCTTGGTATGTCTCTTTATTTTGAGAACAGTGTGCCTTATCCACGAAAAATATAAAAATCAATTTAATACCACCTCTTACACCACTTATACCACCACTTATAGTACACGTCAGTATTACTTCATTTCCCTTCGAAAACCTACTCTAACCCTTACACAAGATTCTATTATTTTCAATAGCAGGAAGTTATTTAATCACCTTTCCATTGATTTAAGGCGAATATTTAATGAAAAAAAATTCAAAATTCCTTACTTGGAGGCCCTTTTATAGTTTGGCTGAATTCTACCAAGGCTCTATCGAGTAATTGGCATGTAGCTTTGTGAAAACAAGCTATTGAAATCAACATGAAATGGCTATTGTTCATTACGTAGTATTACATATTTACATTTATTCAAAATTCATATATACAAGTACTTATATTTGTATCTGTTCAGCTGGGCTCAATATTGTTCTGTCCATATACTCTGCTCTTATCTCTAAGCATTATTTTATAGATTATATTTGTTAATTGTTGCATATACACGTTTTACTCTACTGAACTTTGCAAACAAGATGTTCAGATCTTGGGTTTTGAGTCTTGGGTTTTGGGAAGCATTTTTTGATTTGATTTGAGGAAGATTAAGCTGTATAACCTTCCTCTTGAAGATGATCACTTGGTTTTGGGATGAAACTCCAGTAATATCATTACTACACCGAAGGTTCCGAACAGTGTATCAAGGATATATGTATTCGTATATCACCATCAAAATGACAAATGATCTAATGAAGGGAGCTATTACGAATCGAATCAAAGAACCATATTTTGCAAGTCTATGAATTTTGTTGAGAAGTTCAACTATTTAATTATGAATTATTATAATTATATTCAAAACAGATATCTGCTGACGAGCAACGAAAAAACTTGCAAATGCCAACCCCTAATTCAGTATTTTTTGTAATTTAACCTGATCGAATGAAATGACAGAAACTGTAATAAACTCAAAAGTCACTTTTGAATGTATAGATCTTTTAAAACAATCAGAGTAGCTCCAGTGGAAGTTGTACCTATTTGCAAATTATCTATCATTTGATGATTTTGATAAGACGTCTGCAAATAAACTAGAATAGTTCTATCATATAAATATCTCATATTGATCATTTTCTCTAATTTTCTACATTTTCAAATCAATGAAAATCTGTACTTCTGCTTATGAATCAAAAAGGGTAGGAAAATAATGTTTACGTTCCGAATTATTACAAACAGAATAAAAACAAGTATTTGAAGTGCAGTTTTGTTAAAGTTCCAGAATAATTAGGAAAGAATATATTATTCTAAAAGTTCCGGTATACTAACATAATTAACTGAATTATGTTTTAGATGTTTCCAAAACGAGTGCATTAATCTAACTGATGTTATTTACAGCTCTAGTTTCTGTGCATGAATTGAGTTCAAGTTTGATACAAAAATGAGCAACAAACCAACCCCCACGTTATAAAGTGAATTCTACCGAACTCGACGAACGATAATATGCAAATTAATTAATTAATGATGATTACACCCGGCTCTCGCATTCTTATATTATGATGTTGTTTGAGAGTGGGTTCCACCAGACCTGAAGAAAATTAAGCCGCGATTGCTGCAGTTACGTTAATCACTCTTTGAAATGAACGAAGGTGGAAATTCAAGACCGGCACTTTACTGAAATGTATGAAATAACGCGTAACGTTAAGGAAACCTTGATGCGATAATTAGGTTCTTTAAAGTTTGCCTGATGAAAGTTTAAAAGACATTGACGTACTGAAGGGTTTTGATTATCACATTACGTACAGAAAATTGGTTTCATTTTTTCCATTGATATTAAGAATGAGGTGAACTTCTGAAAGGAGAAGGGAAGGAAAAGTTAATTAGTATGAAGAAGAACTTGCGAAAAAAAGTCTTACCAGGTTTCTCAACATTGATCCAATTTGGCTTAAACTTGGTTGCATTCACTTTTCAAGTAGTGTGAATAACGATAAAACGTAAATATATTCTGTTTCCAATGA